CATTTCCTCTGCAAGTAGAGTTCCATAATGTATAAAATACGTTTTTTTGGGACTTAATGCAACTAATCAGAACTTGTTGAGGAAATCTAAGTAGAGTCATTCAAATATTGTATGGTTTTCAAAATAAAGATTTTTTAAATGAGCAAAAGGATGACTGCTTCTTTAAAAACAAACGACATTCATCCTGGTATATTTCTCCAGAACCTTCAAAAATATTATTATTTTAGTAGGATAAAATAACAACAAATCTAGAGCTAGAGCTGAGCATAAATATCTAATATCCTTCGTAATAAGTATCATAATTTTGTCAGCTTTGAACAGAAGGCTAAAGATGTTTGCAGAGCTAAAGTAGTACCAATGCACATAAAGAAGCATAAAAGACAACCAAAGCCAGGCCCTAGCAATCACAGTGTAAAGAAACTAGCCAGATGTAGCAAACCAAACAATAGGTAATTAAACAAGAGAGAAAGAGAAGAAGAAAATTTTAAAAGAAAAGATATTTTCATTGGCAAACATCATCTGCTTACTTAATGTTATATGGAATGAAGCCTGTTAAAGACACAAAGGTAAGAAGATACACAATCATTACCCTTATCTCACTATAGGCCCACTGGAAGAACATTCAAAACATTTAGGGAACAAAAACCTGTCAGTGTCAATCTGTGGCCTGAACATAGCAGATCCTATCAGATTCAGAGACACCAAAATAGGACAATAAAAAAAGGATCACAAAAGTTAAAACCCAAACTAGAGCCTGTCCTCAAATTTCAACTTTTATTTAAACAACTTTTTTTTTTAAGTTTTTATTTGCTATTGATTTGCATACAACATTTGTATACACTATGTTTCACCTTAAAAGACTTTTAATCCCAGGTCTGTTGACACACACATAATCTAAAAAAATGACCATGAATCTGTTTTCTTCCTTAATTAAGTGGGGATGGGAGACTTAAAAAGGAGTCCTAGGTCCCACATAGTCTCTAACTTGAAATGAACCTTACAGATTAGAGAAGCAATTGTTGCCAGTAGTTGTTGATCCACTAAGATATAAGATGACCTCAGTGCCATCCTCAGGACAGGATGCAGATTGCACAGCTGTGATGCACAGATTTCCTTGGCTATTTTCAGAAATAGATGGCCAGGCCCTTCTTCCTAGTCGGTCACAGTTAGGAAAATGCCACTAAAATCTTTTCCACATCATAGCAATGTGCAAGACTTCCACTGCAGAAAAATAGCAGTGGTCGCAGCTGAGATTGACTGGCCAGGAAGACAGCCTGGCCACAAGGCAGGCAGGATTCTACACCAGGGCCCCATGAGGGGGTATTAAGGGGCAATAAAGACTAAAATTCAGTGCAAAAAAAACCACAACAGCATAAAGGTTCAATACAAATTTTGGAAACAGTGCAGAGACTGGTTCAAGCACAGTGGAGCAGTATATTTTCACTCAAACCTTCTTTCTACACTGTTGGTCAACAACTCCTCTGCGTCAGATATTTTCAAATACCAATATTTTTGTTCTGTAAACTCTAGTAGTGCAGTGGTCGGGGAATTGTGCTGCTAACCCAAAGGCAGTGGCTCTCTTATGGATCAGATCCACCAGCTGCTCTGTAAAGGAAAGATGGGCGATCTTTTCCCATGTGATTTACAGCTTCAGAAAACCCACTTGTACGGTCAGCTATGAGTCATTTCTGACTTAGTGACAATACTTTTTTTACAGAAATAAACAAAAATAATGCCTATGAAAAGGTCAGCTTACAGCTTGGAAAACAAACATAGATAGAAAAGACTTACGCATTATTTGCATAAAAACACAGTATGTGAAGGATGGTTGCAGTAAAGTTAGATGGGCCAGATCATGAGGATTCCAATCTGGCTCTGTGTCCAGCAATATAACTTTTGTTAAAACGTTCTGGGTTAAATTAAAACAATATTGCCAACATTAAGAATTGTTTTGAAACGGTAGAAAGAGACATCTATGAATTATAACAGTACAGCAACAGACTTAAACACAAAGAGATTTAGTAACTCAGTCTAGCCGTTGGCCATGAAGAAATGCCAACAGTCAGGCTGTCTGTCGTAATAGGAGATAAGGTAGTTTAATTTAGCATTACCCAGCTCACAGAGAAAACTAGTTCCTCTCAAAGAACCATCTTTGAAAACAGCAGCTACCTTCTAGATCACACAGAAAGATGCACAACAAACATTTTGCATTTGCCTTGGTTAGTCACAAGCTGGGGAACAGAGGAGGGAAAAAATTACATTAGAAGGTGCCAAAAATACTCAATAAGCCCCTGTCTCTTTAGTCTTATTTATTTACTCTGTTGAATGATGATGATGTTGTTTTCACTGGGGAAGGGCAAGTAGGGAAGAAGGCATGTTATGTTTATAACTTCACTACTGCATTTACCACTCAACTGTATAACTAAATTAATTTGGATCCATTTTCCAACATAGAAAAAGATGGATTTCAAAAAGTACGTTCCTATAAGCAAAAACTGACCCAAACTATAATTGGTTATGCCCCTTGGCTCTGACTACCAGACCTACTACTACAGCTGAACAAAAGTGGCACAAGCTAGACTTGTGATCCAGTCCAGTGCAGAGTGCCATCTGCTGCATAGACACAGGATGTCTCTTTGTAAAATTCAACCTTAGTGCCTGTCAGGGACCTTTATAAGAATTTTTTTTTCTGGCATGTTATTTATTTCCCTATTTCTCTATTGTGTGTGGCCTCAAATCAGTACCTACTCACAGAAGGATACCCATTCACAATTTTTAAATAACAGTATTTCCCCAATGGTTCATTTTACAGGAGTCAAGAGAGATGTGCAGGAGAAATTATACTTTACAATTTAAAAAAAAAAAAAAAGGCAGACAATACTGGAGTTAAAATATCTGGAATGGGTGAACATGTAAAACTATTACATATTTGCTGTCAAATCTCTTCCCTTTCTGGACCTCAATTTCAAGGCACAAAATGTCAAAAGTTAAATAAATCTCTACGATATCTTTCCATCTAGGATATCTTTCCATTTTAAGGGTCATGTGAGGGATAAAAGACAAAGACAACTGTATACATGCTCACTTCAGAGCAAGGGAAAAATTATAAAAAATGTTTACACATTTTAAATAATAAAGTGCAACGTTTTTCACAATCTGACAATGCTAAGTTCATTTACAAGTCACCATTCCCATGATAACATTTCTCCCCTTCAGAAATAACACTTCATTTTAATTGTACTTTCAGTTACAAATTCAGCACATCACTTTTCCCTACCCCAGAATAGCACAGAACACTCTGGTAAAGTACCCCCACAAGGAATGCACTCACAGCCTGACAGATTCACATAGTAAAAATTCAGAAACTATATAGGAGTGGGGGACGGGGGGAAGAAGCTAAATAAATATCACACCCAAACAGTCATTAAAAACTGGGCAGAGTCAGAATTTGTGATATTAAGATACCGAGATCAACCACTTGGAAATCTTTAAGCAATTTGGGGAAGAGAAGGATTCAATCAAATTGTTGAGTGGCCTTATGTTTGAAGAGAACAAAACATAACTGGAGGCTATGAAACATGCAAATCTAAACTGAACTGTGGAAAAGCTCGGCTCTCACCCAAAAGCTTCAGCAAAGCAATATGCCACTATGCCAAATGGGAAAAACTATGGCTTCTTTACAGGAATGAGGTTAGCGTCCACCACACTTAGGACTGTGCTGGAAGAACATGTGGTCTTCTCATAGTCCTTTAAGACACCTAATTTGACGCTGCCCCTACTCTTGGAAGATGCTCTCTGAAAAACCTCCAGTTCAGCTTCCTCTCAAGGGTTACCTGACCAGAACAAGACAGGTGGATTTGCCTGAGAGCTTGAAGGCGCAAATTTCTCTTATCACGCTGTTTTTAGTGTTCCTCTTATTACCACACTACACAACTTAGCCCTAGGAAATAAAACCTAAACTCATGCTCAGAGCTGGCCAAAAACCAAGTCAAATGGGTCTAGAAAGTCCAAGCAAGGGAAGCTGCTGACTTGTTAGGTCAGGACCTCCCATTCCATGTTGATCTTTTGCAATTTGGGGAGGGGGGGGATTGTCACAACCAACACCACACACACACACACACATTCTCCAGTCTTCTTCATACAGATATTCCCTCTCATGGGCAGCCAAATCAATGTCAGCCAGTGAAACCTAGTGATACTGGTCATTAAAACCACCAAATCTCAAGCAACTTGTCACACTGCCCTCTCCCCTCCAGCTGTCACCCTTCTTTCTTCGGGAAGAGCCCACAAGCACCAGAAGCAAACCTTTAAAGACAATACTGGGGATCTCGAAGGCACAGAATGGAGCTTGGCTCGTGAAGCAATGCAGCATCCATCTCAAAAGAGCTGGTTCCCCATGTACACACGCGCAGGAAGTCACACAGGGGGATAAAGTTTGATTTCATTTATTTTTTTTTCCCCTCTTGCATGTCCCCCCAAGGGCCGAGAGGGGGCGAGGGAGCGCCCCCGCCAGGGTCCTGGGGGACAGCTCCAGCAGCGTGGCTCTGACACTCCGGACACACATAGGCGGCCGCGGCCACTCAGGACACCCCCAAGGCGCCCCGAGGAGACGCGAAGACGGAGAACTTGGACGGGGCCCCACGCCGGGGCTCTGAGGCAGGGCTGCTGGAAAGCAGGAGGGAGGGACCGAGGCCGAGGGCGGGTCGGCGAGAGGTCCCGGTCCAGTGCCTTCCCCGCCCTGGTGTCCCCGGTCCTGCGGGAACATCCCGGCTGGCGCCCCTCCTCCTCCTCCTCCTCCCGGCTTCCTCTCGCCCGCCCTCCTTCCTGGGCGCCGCCGCAGGCGCCTGAAGGGCACGGCGGCTCCTCGGTGCCCGGCCACCTCGGGAGCGGCCGCGAGTTGAGGTAACTCGCCCGCTGCCCCGGCGGCCTCCCAGCCGGCAGCTCCCACACGCCAAGCGCCGCCCCGCCCTCCCCGGAGCCCGCCGGGCGCGCTGGCTCACCGTCCGGTGGTGGTGCTGCTGCTGCCGGTGGCGGCTGACGCCCAGCCCGGGGAAGCAGCCGGCAGACAGCGTCCCGCAGCCGCCAACGCCCCCGCCGCCGCCCCTGGAGGAGAGGAGCAGCAGGAGCGATCTACCTGCGGCGGCCGCCATCTCTCAACTGGAAACGGCGCCGACCCAGGCAGCGCAGCGGACGGCCGGGGCGGGGCGACGGGCCGCCACTCAGCCGAGCACGGCCAATTACCGCTCGCGGCCGAGTTGAGGAGGCGGGGCTTTCTGCCAGGCCCAATCGGCCGCGGAGAAGCTGGGCTGGAGGGTGCCAGTCAATTCCAGAGTTACCTATAGTGGGACTAGGCAATTACGGGCACATTCCGGGGAACCGTAACTGGCACCGAGCCCCTCGGAATAGCAGCAATAGAGATGACATGTTCAGTTCCGCTAATTTTCACCCGGAGCACTGCGATGACAAGGGTCGCTGAGGGAATGGCTCTTTTTCTCAAAGCTTTGCACTTTCTGAGTGCTCTGAGTTGTCAAAATAGGCACGGAACCACTAACCATTAACTAGGTTTGCAGTGACTCTCAACTCCATGCCCAGAGTTAACATTCATGACTGATGATACTGGATATGCTGACATAAACCCTGAAGCGCTGGGTGATTTTTTTGGTGTGTAGTACAGTAAAGGAGGGGCAGAATGGTTCTGATATTAAAGTTCTGGGCATAATACACGCCATCCGAATGAATGAATACACTTGCATATATGTCAACTACCTAATTTATTTTTACTGAAATGCTCTGTGCTCTCCAGAAGCGGCACTGTGTTTATTACCATATTTGGCCTTATGTGCACTTATTAAATAGCAGAAAATCACGTGTTGACAATGTAATAAAAACCATGTCTAGGTTATTTTAATGACATTTCATAACTTTTCTAAACTAACCATCAGAAAATACTTTAGAATAACTCTTGACCACCTTCTCTTGAAAAATACCTCTTTCCATAAGGAACAAGCTCGAACGAAGGTTCACTGAAGACTGTGAGAAAAGAGATTTTGGTTTCTTAAGATTTTGTTTTTTAAAAAGGATTTTATGAGTTAGTTCATTCTCACACGTCTTTTTAACATCTGGAGCAGGAAACCAATTTGGGAAAGCAAATAGATTTTTCTAAATTTCAGGAAACATCTTTGTAATGTTGCCTTGAGTAATGCAATTTTTAAAAGGGCCATTTTAGTACACTATTTGCATAATTATGTATTTTTTTAATTTAATGAAAATGGTCAAGAATAGTAGGTAATGAAGTGGAGTTTGTGGTTTGCTTAATCCTCCCATCTATGTCACAGTAGAAAAACAGTTGGCTCCTTCCGAGATTATCATGCCCCTCATCTAACTTACCCAAAAGGCATTAACTGCACAAGCGTGGAGCCAAAAAGCTCAGGGATGAGACCCCTAACTCAACAGCTGTGCACAGTGACCCTCCATTTGGAAATTTGTGGTATTACTGGACCAGTTCCATTTTCCACCCATCTCTCCATGTAAGGAACTCTGGTGGTGTGATGTCCTACCTGTTGGACTACTAAATAAAATGTCAGTGATTTGCTCCCACCTGTTGCTCCTTAGAAGAAAGGTGGCTAGTCTCCCTCAGTAAAGTTTTACAGCCTCAAAAGCCCAGAAAGAGGGTAGATATTCATCAGCACTGACTCAAAGGCAATGGGCTTGGGTTTTATGGTCTATTTACCCCAAGTTAATTTTATATATTTCCCCATGCCATGAGGCTTCCTCTCCTCTCCTGTCCTCTCCTACTAGTTAGGGTCACATGGATTACAGTCTTGATTTCATGCTCTGTACCCTACACAAGTCAAGATTGCACCATCCAGCTCCACTTTACACTTTGAGAAGTCTTACAGAAGGTTGCCTTTCCCCTGCTTTTCCAAACTTGAATATTAGATACATAGTCTACAGTATTTTTACCCTTGCAACAGAATCACAGTAAATGAGCGATAAAAGGGCACAAACTAAAACTGGACAGATTGCCAAAACCTGCCTTTTCTACCTGTTTACCAAAATGTGTCATCTTTTACCTATTCAGATGAAACTACTGATGTACCACAGGCAGGCTGTGGAATTTAAGGATCCACTGGCTAAACTGGGTTCTAATAATCCGGGGCTGAATTCAATCTTAAAAATGTCAGTTACCTGCTCACAGAGAAAAAGTGCTTTCTTTAGCCACCAAAGACGCCTTATATCATCTACTTCGTCAGACCCTGTATGGAGAAAATATGTATAGCTCAATAGAAAATCTTTCTCATGCTTAAGATATATATTCTCTCTTCAAAGGTGGGTGATTTTAATTTGCAGCCCTCAGGCCTGGTTTCAATTGTTTTTGGTGAAACATTTCTCTAAGTGGTATAGCACTGGTCTGTCCATTTGCTGTACACAGTGGTAACTCATAGTTGCTGTGATGCTAAACACTGTGACACTTATGTATCAAGTATGATAATGGTTACCCATGGTGGACAGTGTTTGGTGGAGCTCCCCAATTAAAACAAGCTTGGAAGGAGGAGTGGCATCCAGTTATAAAATAGCTTGCCTCTGGAAATTCTATGAACTTGGAGAAGCGATGAAAGTTAAACAAGTGTTCAGGCCTTTCGTTCATAGGGCCACTATGAGTTGTCTATGACTCAATGACACTTAACAACAACATAACATTCTCTCTCTCTCTCTCTCTCTCTCTCTCTCTCTCTCTCACACACACACACACACACACACACACACACACATACACACACACATTCGGTGAGGTCAAGTCCAACTCACAACGACCCTCTAGAACACAGAAGAGCTGGCCCATGGACTCTAAATCTCTAAAAAAGCAGACTGCCATGTCTTTTTTTGTTTGAAGCTGTTAGTGGATTCACACTCTCAACCTTCTGGTTAGAAGCCAAATGCTTAATGAGTACACCACCAGTATGTATATACATATATATGTTATTGTTGTTATATATCATCAAGACAGAATTGACTGACAGTTGACCTATCAGCAGATTATTAGAGGCAGTAAATTACATGGTAGGAGATTGCCCATCTTCTCCCACAGAGCAACTGGTGGATTCGAACTTCATGTCTTTGGTTTAACAGTACAACTCCTTACCACTAACTCATCAGAGCTCTCCTATACATATAGATACATACACATAAACTGGGGCAGGAGATGGAGAAGTGCATGTGTGAAGTACATATAGAAGTAAAGGAAATTAACATTCTTTGCATACCTGTTATGTGCTAGAGACTGTGCTGATCACAATAAAGATACCACACTTACAAAGAATGACAAATCAGCCACAAGAAAGTTGAGCAAAGAGTTGAAGACAATTAAATGTCTTCCCATATGTAAGTGTGTTGGAGACAGTAAAGTTGGCTCAGGATAGAGCAGAATTCAGAAGGTGTACACAGGATCGCTGTGAGTCACAAGTGACTCGACCACACATAACAACAACATATAGAATTAGTTCAATAAATTAAAGACTAAAACAAAATACTATGTAATTATTAACAACAAATTAAGGGAGGAAATTGTGCAACATTGAATGACTTTTTTAAAAACAGTTAACTAGGGGAGGGGAAAGGAGAGAAAGAGATGAAAGTACACAACAATGAATGAATGAAAAACCAACTTTTTAGTAAACATTTATTAAAATCATAATAAAAATATACACATTTTAAAAGAAACCAATACTTACCTGGCAGGGGAGATACTATGACCACGAAGATGGTTTTCCCAGGACGAGGCTTATCCACTGCACTCCAGATGTGCTGACCCCTGAGATTTCCTCAAATGAGGGAAACACGACTGCATAATTTGTGGTAGGGGGGACTGAGTTTGCACTTACCCCTATAACATTTAAAAGAAGAAAAAATCCCTATAAAAGAAAAAAATAAGAAGCTAAAAGCCACATAAAAGAAAAAAAGTTAAGAAGCTCTTGTGGCAGGGTGTGTTACATCTTACACTGCTAGCCAGAATCTCAGTACTTTTGAGTCCACCATCAGCTCAGTCCCAAAAATCAGATCAAAGGTCCAAAGAGTTATCTTTACCTTCATAGTAGCAGATAGTGTAAAAAATTATACTGTCTATGTTGTTGTTGTTGTTGTTATGTGTCGTCGAGTCGTTTCCGGCTCATAGCGACCCTATGCACAACAGCCCTAAACCCTGCTCTATCCTGCGCCAACCGCACTGCCTCTGACATACCCATCCCGATTACCCCAGTCACCAAATCAATCCATCTCATAGAGGGTCTTCCCCTCCTGCGCTGTCCCTCCACCCTCCCAAGCATGATGTCCCTCTCCAAGGACCCGTCCCTCCTGGCAACATGTCCAAAGTATGTCAGACGAAGCCCCAGAATCCTTGCCTCCAAGGAGTAGCTTGGTTTAATCCTCTCCAAGATAAATCTGTTTGTTTTCCTGGCAGTCCAGGGTACATTCAGTACCCTTCTCCAGCACCACAGCTCAAAAGCATCCACTCTCCTTCTGTCCTCCCTAGTCATTGTCCAACTCTCTGATGCATAACAAGTGATTGCAAATATCATGGCCTGTATCAGGCGCACCTTAGTCTCCAGAGAGACACTGTTGCTCCTGAGTACTTTAGAGAGGTCCCTAACAGCAGACTTTCCCATCGCGATACACTTTTTGATTTCCTGACTGCTAGTGCCAAGAGTGTTGACTGTGGAGCCGAGCAAACTGAAGCTGTGAACAATCTCAATCTCTTCGTCATTCATCCTGACGCTGCCAATTGGTCCAGTGGTGAGAATCTTTGTCTTCTTGACATTGAGCCTCAGTCCATACTGAAGGCTGCAGTCCTTGACCCTTCGCAGCAAGTGCATGAGGTCCTCCTCAGTTTCAGCAAACAGGGTTGTGTCATCTGCATAACGGAGATTGTTAATAGATCTTCCACCAATCCTGATGCCACAATTCTCCTCATAGAGCCCAGCCTCTCAGATAATCTGCTCTGCATACATGTTGAAAAGGTATGGAGACAGGATTCATCCCTGGCGTACACCCTTTCCTATTTTGAACCATGCAGTGTTACCCTGCTCTGTCCTGACTACAGCCTCTTGGTTCAAGTATAGGTTTCGTATTAGCACAAGTAAATGTTCTGGGATTCCCAT